TATGTTATGTTAATCACCATACATTACATCATTAGTTTTTGATGTAGTGTTCCATGATTCATTGTTTGTGTATAACACCCAGTGCTCCATGCAGTACATGCCCTCCTTAATACTCCTCACCGGGCTCCCCCAATCCCCCCACCCTCCTCCCCTCTAGAACCCTCAGTTTGTTTTTCAGAGTCCATCATCTCTCATGGTTTGTCTCCCCCTCCCATTTCCCCCCTTCATTCTTCTCCTCCTACTATCTTCTTCTTTTTTGTTTTTCTTAACATATACTGCATTATTTGTTTCAGAGGTACAGGTCTGTGATTCAACAGTCTTACACAATTCACAGCGCTCTCCATAGCATATACCCTCCCCAATGTCTATCACCCAGCAACCCCATCCCTCCCACCCCCCACCACTCCAGCAACCCTCAGTTTGTTTCCTGAGATTAAGAACTCCTCATATCAGTGAGGTCATATGATACATGTCTTTCTCTGATTGACTTATTTCGCTCAGCATAATACCCTCCAGTTCCATCCACGTCATTGCAAATGGCAAGATCTCATTCCTTTTGATGGCTGCATAATATTCCATTGTATATACATACTAAATCTTCTTTATCCATTCATCTGTCGATGGACATCTTGGCTCTTTCCATAGTTTGGCTATTATGGACATTGCTGCTATAAACATCGGGGTGCACGTACCCCTTCGGATCACTACATTTGTATCTTTGGAGTAAATACCCAGTAGTGCAATTTCTGGGTCATAGGGTAGCTCTATTTTTAACTTTTTGAGGAACCTCCATACTGTATTCCAGAGTGGCTGCACCAGCTTGCATTCCCACCAACAGTGTAGGAGGGTTTCCCTTTCTCCGCATCCCCGCCAACATCTGTCATTTCCTGACTTGTTAATTTTAGCCATTCTGACTGGTGTGAGGTGGTATCTCATTGAGGTTTTGATTTGGATTTCCCTGATGCTGAGCGATGTTGAGCACTTTTTCATGTGTCTGTTGGCCAGTTGGATGTCTTCTTTGGAAAAATGTCTGTTCATGTCTTCTGCCCATTTCTTGATTGGATTCTTTGTTCTTTGGGTGTTGAGTTTGATGAGTTCTTTATAGATTTTGGATACTAGCCCTTTATCTCATGTGTCATTTGCAAATATCCTCTCCCATTCTGTCGGTTGTCTTTTGGTTTTGTTGACTGTTTCTTTTGCTGTGCAAAAGCTTTTTATCTTTGATGAAGTCCCAATAGTTCATTTTTGCCCTTGCTTCCCTTGCCTTTGGCGATGTTTCTAGGAAGAAGTTGCTGCGGCTGAGGTCGAAGAGGTTGCTGCCTGTGTTCTCCTTTAGGATTTTGATGGCCTCCTGTCTCACATTTAGGTCTTTCAACCACTTTGAGTCTATTTTGTGTGTGGTGTAAGGAAATGGTCCAGTTTCATTCTTCTGCATGTGGCTGAAGCAAACCCATGTAGTATTGGCCTATGTGTCTGTTCTCTGCCATTCCTCTGGTTTCTAACAGCCCTATTTACAAACACAGCCTCCTCCACACAACAAGGCTTTGGAACCTATGTCAATTTTTTATTTATATGACTAGATGTAATCCCCCAAACTACACATCAGACTGCAACAAATTTCTTCTTAAACTCACAGTGATGCCTCAAAAGATTTAGGTGATTAACTTCCAAATTCTCAGAATAATAGTGAGATCTGAATGACCTAACAATGCACAGCACAAATTAAAATAGATTCATAATTTGCCATGAATTCCCAATGCTGAATCTGTTCTTTTTTAACAATGAACTAATTCATTCATCTCTAATACTTGACATCAGATAAGGAAAGATGAAGAAAAGAAGTTGAGCTTTAAGGAACGATAGAAACACAGCAATGCCATATGGGAGGACAAGAAAAGAGAGAGAGAGAAGACTATGTAAGACCTGGGTGATTGCTTAGAAGATGCACAAGAGCCAAATAATGGGACTCAAAGCTTGGTCGGTCCATCTGGAAGAGTCCCTTCTGAGTTCAGAACTCTGTTGAGTTGTGACCTGCCAGTGATGACTGCATCAGATATCTCTCAGTGACATTCTCCCTTCTGGTAACCAACCATTCTGTCTTTGTAACTCATCACTGCACAATCAAGATGCAAATTCTCTACAACCAGGATCCTGGCTTTCTGTTTCATTTGCCTATCACCAAATTGCTCACAAGTGTGTCCTACCTCCTGTCTATAGTAAACCAACGATTGACAGCAAAAATGGAAAAGATCATGGTTTAGCAAAAACATTACAGTTCATTCTGCAAATGATTTATTGTCACTCAGCTGCATGATTAGCTCTTGTTTTTCATTTTTTGCATTTGTTTTGTTTTTTTTTTCTGGACTGCGGGAGTGGTGGTTCATTGGTATTAAGGGCATAGCCAAAATAGTTAAATTATCATGAAAGCCTCCATTGTTAGACAAAGGAATATCCTAAATTATTTTTAAAATTGCCCTTTCTTACCAAGGCCCAGTAAACAATTAGAAACTTCAGACAACATGGAGTTATTTATTAACAAGAAGAGCCCTTATGGGGAAAATAATGAATATCGAGATCAAATTTATCAACAGACCTGTAATTTTTAAACTTGATTCTCTTTCCTCCTTCCATGTCTTCAAAAAATACAAATTTGGGATTTGGAAACATAGTAATTCAAAAAGGTTACTCATCTGGTTAAGACTCCATGCCCTAACTTTATTGACTACCATTCCAATTTGGGCCAAGAATGGCTTCCCAAATGTCCCACGTGGCAAACCCAGGTGAATAAACAAAACAGAAACATAAGGATGAGAGGATTGCTATCCTTATTCTAACTAAATATCCTGCCTATTCTTTTTAAGCTGTCACTGCCATATTTAAGTTATAACTGTATCTTCTCAATGAGAACAGTGCCTTATTATTGGAATTGGCAGGGGGCCTTGACATTTGAGTCATCATTTCATTATGCCTATTCCTTACCCTGGTATACAAGTTAAATAGAAATACAAGCCAGATGAAATATAGGGGGGAAAATCCGAAACAATCACTTTAAAATGAATTAATTTTTCTCAAATCTACAAATATAGAGAGCAATTAACATGGATAATAATATATTCCACCTCAGGCACATTTTCAAAAATATTCACTCCAATTTCAGAGGCCAAACCTGCTCAAACCCTTCTAGCCAAACACTTCACTTCTGCAAAACAGAACCAACAGCTTTAATATTCTCTAAGTTATAAAGATAGAATAATTCCCCTTTTAAATCAACTACAACTATGGGAAAAAACACACATTTAACAGATTTCCTCTTTTTCTAAACAGCTTCAAAAATGGGCAGCAATCACTGAACATATAAATATATATATAAAATACGCACATGTGAAAAGTATTATTTAAAATGTGTAATCGCATAGAAAAATAACAATTCATTCAGACTAAAATATCCAAATGTGCCTAGCTGGAATTTCAGGTTTATCCGTAGATGTTTTGAAATCACTGAACGTAAATGATGAAAAATGGTAAGTCACAGGACCCAGACATCCTGAATAAATGGGCATCATTCCCTAGTTCTCAAGCATTTTGTTAAAAATTTTTCCACTGAATTTCAAAATGATAAAAATCAGTTCTAACATGAATGCTATATAAAATCCTCAAAAATGTCTTTGGCTCTGCTTCCAGGAGGCTATTCCCTTGTTTACTTATGATGGCAGGTGCTCCAGAATATGTGATTATTCATTCACTGAGTTTTTAATCATCTCTACAATTCTTCCTTTAGCCCAGAGCAGACTGTTCATTTCTTTTTTTTTTTTTTTAAGATTTTATTTATTTACTTGACTGAGGATGAGACACAGCGAGAGAGGGAACACAAGCAGGGGAGAGGTGGGAGAGGGAGAAGCAGGCTTCCCCTGGAGCAGGGAGCCTGATGCAGGGCTCAATCCCCGGACCCTGGCATCATGACCTGAGCGAAAGGCAGAAGCTTAACAACTGAGCCACCCAGGTTCCCCAAGCCTGTTCATTTCTAAAAGCCAACAGCTTTCCCCAAAATGCTTGGGAACAAGCTGAATCACCTAAAAGAACTTTATTGTCCTCGATACAAAATACTGAATAGCTCTACTAGAAGCTGAACACGCATATATGCAAATGTCTACTCTGGAACAGTATTATTTATATTATTTATTATCCTATTTAAAATAGTAATGACTTTCTTTACATTTTATTATTCTAATGTTGACTTCTCCTAAAAAAAAAAAAAAATTTACCTGAGGGAACATACTTGTGTAAACGAATTCAAGATTTAGCTTTTAGCTTTTTGTTTCTTTATAATTTATAACCCAGACTTTCCAAAAAGGGGATTCAAAGAAATTCACAATAATTCCTAGTGTTCACCGTGTTCTCCAAGCAGTGAGCATGTTCTGAAGGAAGGAGTCTGTTTTAATACTAAAATCCATTTAGAAAAGAAGTCTTGAGGTCGTCCCTTAATTTTACAACTTTTAGAAAATCCATTCTTCTGCAAACTGAGACAAAAATAGGATATAAACCAGATGTTCCTCAATTATGAAATTTAGAGCAGAGCACATTCAAAGTGGAGCTTGCTTTTCACCCCTATTTATTTTAGAAGGCAAGCAGGCCCCACGATGTGGGATTCCGTCTTACCATTTGTCTTGTAGTGTGACTTCAATCCGTAGAAATAGTCATGGGTTTACAGTATCAGGCTTTAAGGGAGTCCTATCATTTCTGTAATTACTATGGCTGGTATTAATAAGTATCTTCTTTTTATATGCTGAAATAAATTAATGGAAGAGGCAGACACTATGCAAAATGGCTGGGAAGAAGGCCAAATCTTTTTACATACATCCAGGCACCAGTGATTTCCAAAATGACACTTTAAGCTCTCTTGCCTAAATAATTACAAGGACAGCCAGGCAGCATGTAATTTACTGAAATAATTATGCACTCTTCCAGTTCCCACCACCCAGCTCCAGCCTGTGGCCACTTACCTTGTCTTTGTTTTCAGTGCCAGAAGCCTCGGGCTTGGTCCTGATCACGAATGGGGTGGACAGGCGCAGCAGGACCCTCTCGAAGGCGGCATGAACCCTTGGAGACACGATCTCGAAGCAGTCCTGGAACTTGAGCACTTTGTGAGCATCACATCGAAGCTGCTTCCGCAGGCCTTCCCCTAGCTGAAGGACGGACATGTGGGGGTCGAACATCAGGTGGAAAGGGAAGGCTCTGCAGAAGGTGCTGATGCTGATTCTGAGGTCCGCAGGAACTTGGGAGGTGCCCTGGGGAAGGTTCTTCGTGATGGTGGTGTTTTCACATTCTTTGATAAGGAAGGTAAGACAGCCACAGTTGCCCGGGTTCGAAGCCTCAGAGCCCAGCTTCTCACTGGCAACTTGCTCCACCGCCACGTCCAGCCGGTAGATCTTCTTGGCTGCGGCCTTAATCATCCCGAGCATTGCGAACCCCACAGTATGGTGAGGGTGGAAATAGTGGAGCATCAGAGTGCCTTCAGGGAGCTCTTTGCATAGGAATGATGGTGACTCCAGAGTGGCCTGTTTTCCGAAAGAAGTTCTAATGTGTTCCAACAAAGCATCAAAGCCATTAAAAAAATCCTGCAATGTGCCGCCCACAGCTCGAAGGACTCTTTCATTCTCATCAAAGCATATATTAAAGAACTCCTCGCCAAATCTTTCTTGGATTTCCTCAAACTTCAAACCTGGAGGTAAACGGGTAGGAAATGTTAGAGAAGTATAATGAAATAATCGAATTTATAGCTTTTTTTAATGCATATCAAAGGGGATAACTAGTGAGTGAGGCAACAGAAGTATTCCCTTGGGCCCACAAATTCCCAAAGAGATGAATTCATTTTGAATTAGAGAAAGTAAATTTCAATTCATCTTCTGGAGGCTTCTAAGATGTTAATAAGCATAAACTTGTTTTAGTATTTTTGTTTGTTTTTAAATAGTCTTATTTTTTTAGAGCAGTTTTAGATTCACAGCAAAATTAAACAATAAGTATGGATATTTTCCATAGAACCCTCTCCCCACAAACACACAACTTCCCCCTCACCCCACTATTAGTCCTGGGCTACTCTGATACATGTGTCACCACCAATGAACCTACAATAACACAGTATCATCTCCCAGAGTCCATAGTTTACATTAGGGCTCACTCTTGGTGGTTGCACTCTTGGGTTTGGACAACTGTGTAATGATATGTGTCCACCATTGTAGCATCATACAAAGTAGCTTTGCTGCTTTAGAAATCCTCTGTGCTCTGCCTATTCACGCCTCCCTCCCCTGAGCCCCTATAGCATAAACTTTCCAAATGTTGCTAATCTAGCTGCTAACTCTTCAATACCCTACTGCATTTGCTGTAATCAGCAGAAATAAGATCATCTTAATGATTTCCCTCTTCGTTAGGGTAACTTTTCAGAAGCAACTATAATGTTGTGTCTCTATTGCGCCCATCCACTATTACTATCTTATCAAAATTCATTTGTTAAGTGGAAAATATCACCCAGAGAGGGAATTTATGGTACCTGAGTGGGGAAAGACATCAGTTTATCTAGTGTCAACAGAAATAATTAAGTTAGACCCCAGTGAGAGAGAGACCAAACAGGGAACTAAAAATGGCAGAACTGTGGGCTGATTTGCATTCTTTCACCCGCAAAAATGAGAGTAGCCAAGAGTGGAGTAGGAATCTCACTAGAAAGAGTTAAAGGCCTTTGTATTCTCAGTTCATACTTCCATATGCCATGGCCAAAGGAATTCTATGTTACAGCAATGGAATTATAACAAAAAATACATACATACATACATACACACAATGCATGATGTAGAAATTAGAACCAGTCACACGTGATCTAGTTAGATCCACCCTTAAGGATGATTTGAGGAAAAATATGGAGGGAATTTATGGTCCAAAGAGGAAGAGTACAATGCATATATGAGAGTTGAGTGTATGTGCTAAAGGAATCTTCCATATGGAGTCATTCTGTTTCTCCTTTGACTCTGGCTGGAATCAATACATGTAAGTTTGTGTATTCATATTTTCTTGCCTCGTCTACTGCAGCTTACAGGGAGGTCCTGAAGGTAAGGCAGGATTGGGAAAAGACAGAGGTCACCTTGCTAGTGTCCTGTTCAAGTGCAGAGCAGTCTCGGTTGTCTACAGCTCGGCTTGCTGTTCCTACCTTTATCATTCCCTAAGGGTTCTCCCCATGCAGAAATGCAGGAATAGAACAGTCAACAATACCATTTGAAAAACACAGTCAAAACGCATCATATATTTTTTGAGGCAGTACTACAGAGTATAAACATTGTGATAGCCAAGTGAAGAAATCAGTTTGACAAAAAAAGTTCTTAAAAGCAATGAAACAAGGGGCGCCTGGGTGGCTCAGTCGTAAAGCGTCTGCCTTCGGATCCCAGGGTCCTGGGATCGAGCCCCGCATTGGCCTCCCTGCTCCGCGGGAAGCCTGCTTCTCCCTCTCCCACTCCCCCATCTTGTGTTCCCTCTCTCACTGTCTCTCTCTGTCAAATAATAAAATCTTTAAAAAAAAAAAAAAAAGCAATGAAACAAAAAGCGGTAGAAAATCTAAGTGAGAAAGAGTCCTTTTATTAAGAAGAATTTCACATTAATTTTGGTTTCATAGATCCGACATGCAAGTCAAGCTGAGACAGTCACCTATCGAGATTAAAAACATGACTGTGCATCTTACATGGTCATGGTACGAGACTGCCCTTCAGCATGTGCTGCATTCACTAACAGTAATGTCAGCCCAAACGGAGAATAATAGTGTTCATCTGTCCAGTTCTCCAGTGTGGAAGGAAAAAAGCAAGGTGAGGACACTCACTGCAATTTGGCTTCTGTTCCCACTGCTCTGTTGAAACTACTTTTGAAAATGCTTCAGGCAATATATACTGCTCGATCCCTACCTCAGTTAACCTTGTTCGCTGTTTTTCTTTTAATTTGACTCTACTGATCATCTCATCCTCCTAAATCTCCCTTCTCTCTGGCTTCTAAAACCTTACTCTCTTGGTTTGATGACTATCTGTCTGAAAATTCCTTCACAAAAATACCTTCCTATGCCAAATCCCTGTATCATCATCACTATATAACTAAAAAGTCCTAATACAAATTAAATGGATATCCCTTCAAAAACAATGTTCTTGGTTGCTATTAAGTTTTTTCTTCATAAAAGTCTAATTAAAACTAAATTCCAAATAAATAAAATTCCTATAAGCTGACTATACTTGCTAAACTACAGAATCCCATGTGCCATTAAAAATCACGGATGGCTTCTATCCTTTGAAGAGTCCGATTTTAAAAGGATTCAGGGTCTTTATGCACAGAAAAGGAAAAGCGAATTTCTTCTAACTTGCTTTTTTCATAACACTGAAAATGTCCTCAGTTATTAAAGAACATAGATATAAACATAATACGGTAAGCTTATGCTCTATTTCCAGCGCCAAAATCCCCCCAAATCATCCAGAAAATAACAAGTAAATTCACCAGAGGCACAAGCTAAAAACTACTCTGTGAGTACAGCATCCCATCAGCTAGAAATCCCCACTGTCTTACAAAGCACTTTGGTACAGGGTTGTTAATTCTGCAATGATGACACCAAGACCTACGAGGCTGCTAGAGCAAATTGTATCAATAAAGAAAAGCTAAAATGTTTTGAATATTACACTCAAATCCTATACATGGCAATTCTATAAAACCACAATCCTTGATTAACTAATAAAGATTTTTGTTCTCACAATTATGAAAATGTACAAGATCATAAAAGAAGAAAAAACTTCTTCCAGTTGGAAACATGGAAAACTAGTGAAAGATCACGTAACTCTTGCAAATATGCTATAAATCAATAGCCAAGACTTACACTTTAAACCTTATCTCAAAATTTAGGAAGCACAGAGAAAGTATTTCAGCTCAGACAACTGGTACAGTTCTGACTTCCAAGCCTGTACCTACGACTGATGCAAACCCCCTACTTAGAGTAAATCACTTAAAACATATAGACAATGCTCATCTTCTCATAACAGAAAATGCTATGACAGCTTGACATTTGGGTCTATAAGAATACATTCCTCTAGGGGCAAAACTTAAAAAAATCTGCTTTCATTAACAAGTAAGTTAGAAGTTAGAATTTTAAATTACTGTCAATTCACCTCTTGAGAAAAATGAATAGCCTAAACGTGAAGTCCTTTAGCTGAAAATAATCTATTCATCGATGATAAGAATCTTTTGTCCCTCATCTGCTCTCCATCTGACTTCACATTGTGCACTTCTTAAGGACAAGGACATTATCCCCTTTATGTCTGCCTACCCATCAATAACATAATGCCTGGCAACATAGACACTAAGATTTCATTCACAGAAACTAAGCTTTCCTCTAAGTATTTGTTTGATAAACATAATAAAGCTTTTAAAGCTACACTTGTGCCACATTTAAGGACAACTAGACACATTCTTTTCTGATACGAGACTCTACAGATAATTAAATCACAGTGGGATTTGGGTTGTAACAGAGGCACATGGGAATACCTATGAAGGTATGCAGAAAAGAATGTCTGACTCTCTCCTCAGGGAGATAATGTCTGAACGGAGACTTGAAGAAAAAGTGGGTGTTCGAAAACCCAACAATGAAGGAACAATCACATTAATGAATGGACACTAATGGAATACAGATGAGCCAGAGAAATGGAATGGCATAATCAGGGAAGGGCAAAAAGTAAGTGGATACATCTGGGGAACAGGAGTGAGGGGATGAGTTGGTAATTGATGAGCAATGTAGAGGCTGGACTTGAGGGTGCCAAGACCAGAGTCAAAGACACCAGCCAGGGAGACACTATAATGTCTTTAAAAGATTATATGGCCTGAATTAGAGAAGTCCCAGTGAGAAGAGTGTTAAGCAATGTGCTGAACATTTTCATAGATCACTTTACACTTAAAAAAATTCTTATCAGGTAGATATTTTTAATTGTCCTCATTTTACAAGTGAAAAATGTTAAGAAATTTGCCCAAGCTCACACAACGGTAGGTAGCAAAGGTAGGTTTCAGGGTGAAGCATGTCTAATACTACATCTTTGAAATAAGCACAGTATTTCAAAAGAGAAAGACATCTGGGTGGGGGTGGGAAATGCATGTCTTGCTCAACGTTATATGATCAATGCCTAGCATTCTGTGTGACATTTAGTAGGTGCTCAATAAATATTAGCTAGATGTTGAATGAATTAATGCATCACTAAAGTCAACAGAAAGGAGTTACAAAGAACAGTCAACAGTTACCAAATGCCAGAGCAATGTCAAGTAAGGTAAGGACAGAAAACTGTAAATTGGATCGGTCAGCACTTTGGGGACTTTGACAGCAATTTCACTGGATGGGAAAGGGCAGAATACTGGGTGTAAGGGGTTAAGGAGTGTGTGGCAGGTAAAGAAATAGTTTTCAGGTGAATTAATACTAGTATTGGGATGCTAAAATTACTCACTTTGTAAAACCGTTATAAATCTGACCTCTAGACTTGGAAAAGAAAATATTGCCTTCATTGAGAATCAAGTAAATAGAGTGAGAAGGCACCAAAGATACGGCATAAACTAGGGTCCTGGATCCTTTAAGGGAAGATCTATCAATAAAAGAGGGTCTTTAGGTCCAGAGACCATCCTTGTCACCCAGCGAGGACAGTGGTCTCCACTAACACAGAAAAAACACCAAAGCAACAGGTGTATCCTTAAGTGGCATAAAGTTCAACTGAGGAGCGGAAAACCTGCCAACTACACACTTCTGTGAGCTGTAGACTCCCTATAATTATTTTTTAATTAACTAGGCTTCTTCAACCTAATATCTAAATAATGTAACTGAAGCACAACTCTATCTCAAGTCCAAACTGTAAAGAGATTTCAATATATATTAAGGAGATAATTATCTTTTCAGAGAAACATTTTTTTCAGCTTTACTCAGCTATAACGGACACATGACACTGTATAACTTTAAGGTACACCGAGTGTTCTTTTGATACATTTATATATTGCAAAATGATTGCCCTTGGTGTGTTAGGTAACACCTTCATTATGTCACATAGTTCTCATTTTTTTGTAGTGAGAACATTTAAGATCTACTCTCTTAACAATATTCAAGTAAATAATACATTATTGTCAACAATAATCACAAAGTTGTACAATCAATCCCAAAAACTTACTCATCTTCTAACTGGAAGTTTGTACGCTCTGACTAACATCTCCCCAATTCCTCTACCTCCCAATCCCTGGTGACCACCGTTCTAGGAGTTTGGCGTTTTTGGATTCCACATACATAAGTGATAGTATATAGTATTTGTCCAGAAACAATTCTTTTATCTAGCAAGTCCCTAAGGTGTTTGTCAGCTAGTTTGATGACACTTCTATAAAACTATTATTCTAGTGTCAAGCTAACCTACAAAGAAATGACTGAAGTTGGTCTCGGCCACCCAGAGGAGATTTAACGGTAAATATTATACACATAGGTCTAAATAATAACAAAGGAGAAAGGCTCTTAAAAAATCCCACTGCCTGAAACGAATTTTAAAGAAAATTGTTTTCAATCTGATCTATCAATACAGTTTCATTTGAATCTCTGTTGGAGTGTAGTTTTTTGTAGTTTCAGAGTATTCTGTCGTTAAGTAAGTAGAAGTGTTAGGATAATAATGCAAAAAAGGACCCCTATCAATTTTGGTCTTAATCTATGAAGAGTTAAACAATGCTTTTCTACTATTTTAGAGGCATGTCATTCTCCTTTCACTGACTTTGTGGCATCTCTGTGACCTTCCAAAAAAGAACACAACTTATGTCACGTATTCATTTTTAAGTATGAACTAAAACTAGTTAATAGTCTTAAATTTTATGATATACTTAAAGAAAACAGGACATATATTCAAATTCTTAAAAAACAGGGTTTTAATATCTTTGAGCTATCAAAGAATTTGCTAAGAATAACAATGGGGGACCCTCTAACAGATTTAACATTAATTCTTGAATACCCAAAGGAATAGGCATTATCAGAAGCATATTAAGTGCTTTAGGAACAAAAATATTTATGATGGTTAAGTCTCAAGTTTTTAATTTTGAGAATATACTAAGATCTGCTTTAAAATATGCATAGCATATAAATTTTAATAGTGAGAAACATGGCACAATGGAGATGAAGCCAAACTGAAAAGTCTGGAATACGTTTTTCACCCAGAAACTACATCTAAAAAGTAGAACATCATATGGAAATGATGAAATAGAGATAATTGGGGGTTGAATGTTGTATGATTGGAAATTTTTAATATGTATGTAATTAATCTAAGTTTTTTTTAAAAAGCAGAGCATCATAAAATTACACTCCAGTATTATTAGTTGCTACTCTTTCAAGTAGCAAAGCATATATAAAATAGCAGATATTCCCTTGTATTATATATATTTGTCTGTGATTCCTCTGTTGACTGCAAACCGATTTAGTAGGACAACTCTTGAAAAGTACAACCTCTAAACACAGTGTGATCGGGAATGAGAAAAAGAAACCAATGGAGGAAGAAATGTAACTAAAGCAAAAAATAGAGATAATTTCCCTCTGAACTATAGAGAATCCTGAGTCTACAGATGGAAAGGCACAAGTTGCAGTCAGGATTGATTGATATAGGTTAAATAAAAATTAATGAAACAGAGGGAAAGAAAAACTGTTGACTCCTGTGAGGTGCATCTTACCCATAATCTGGAACTAAACCATCTCGGGAAAACATGTGGGTCTAATTTGAATAACAGCAAAAGGAAGATAACCAATAATGGGAAAGCAGAGTAGAACTTTCAAATTACGAAGGTAAAAATATATATACATAGGCTAATGCAACTTGATCAATACAGGAGAAAAAAATAAGGAAAAAAGATACAAAATAAATAATCAAAAATCAAGATGGAAGAAAGTAAATCAAGTAAATTATGTATTTCTGTAAATATAAACAAATCCTCCCATCCAGTGGCAGGAACTCTCACTTCTCCCATAAGACTGGCACTCATAAGAAGCGATTTAAAAAATAAAAGGTGGACAGTAGGCAAAGAATTCCAAGAAACTAGAAGGAAGGAGCAATATTAATATCAAACAAGGTAGAATTAAAGTTAAAAATGTGAATCAGGATAAAGAGAAACATTATATAACAATTGACAATTTATAAAGACCTCAGAGACACAAACCTGCATAAACCAATCAACATTGCAGCTAAATATACAAAGCAAAAACAATTAAGAATTGATTGCTAACATATACATGCTTTTTTACGGAGTGATAAATATGTTCTAAAATTGCTTTAGTGATGATTGTCCAACTTTATGACTACACTAAAAACCCTGAAGCATACACGTTAAATGGGTGAATTGTAAGGTATGTAAGGTATGTGAATTATATTTCAGTAAAGCTCTTATATATTTAAAGAATTAAGAATAAAAGAACTCTATACAATTATTTTGGGAGACTCTAATACACATCTCTCAGGATCATATGGATCTAATAGACTAAAAAGCAAAATCATAGAGAAATTAAATAAAAATATATACAATAAACTTTATAAAAATAAAAGTATACTGGAAAACCTGAATGTGCCTTTTTCAGAACCAAAAAGATCAAAGATTAAAAAAAACAAAGTCAATGATTAATTGAATACATATTAACAATAAAAAGCAAAACCTAATAAAAAAGTCAGAGAAAAAATGAAACTGAAATAAAATTTAATAAACAAAATTCAAACACATATGTATATGTACACAATGTATATATCTATGTACTTGCATATATGTGTTTGTATGCATATGAAGAGTTATAAAAATTCCTCAAATACTGGGCCAGAAAATTCCCATAAGGTATTTTTAAGTAAAGATTTTGCAGATCACATTTTCTAATAGTAACAAAAATAATAAATATTTACAAATAACAAAAAGATGACCAAAAATCATATCTAATTAGAAGTTCAGCAATACACTCCTTTGAATTAAAGAGAAAACCAAAGTTGGAATTATAACTTCTAGAAATCAATGAAAAGACTACTTCATACAAATCCTGAGGCACAGAAAAAACTGTACTGAAAAAAAAAAAAAGAATACATCATCAATGTTTTCAGCAAAAAGCAAATAAAAAGCTTCCAAATTAAGAACTGTTGAGCTTTTAAAAAAACTAATAGGTAAAAGCTGAAATTAAGAGAAAAAATATACTAAATTAGGAATGAAAAAGATGACATAGCTACATATTAATAAAAAATAGAGGAATAAAAAAATCACAATGTTTTGCCATCAAATATATAAATGTAATGTTAAATAATTTTATGGGAAATATAAATGGCCAAAATTCACCAAGAAATGGGCAATCTGAGTTCTGCCTGGTCTTTAAAATAAATTATTAGGAAGTTATTTAAATATTTCCAGGCCATAGAAAAAAAAATCAAAACGACTCAATTATTTTTATTAAGACCACATAACTTTAATGCCGAAACTTGAGGTAGTATGGTAAAAACCAATTTCTCTCATGAGTATTTGTTGAAGAAGTAGCAGATAGAATCTATAAACTTATAGAAAAATACATTCCAACCCAATAGTGTTTATATCAGAAATGAAAAGGTCTGGGGCGCCTGATGGGCTTAGTCCAGGGGAGCCTACAACTCTCAATCTCGGGATCTTGAGTTCGAGCCCCACATTGAGTATAGAGATGACTTTAAAAAGAATCTTTAAAAAAAAAAAAAAAAAGGTAGTTCAATATCAGAAAATCTATCTGCAAAAATTACCACATTCATAAAATTGAGAAAATGATTGTATCAGTAGTTTTTGAAAAGTCTAAGATTTAACTGTTTTAATAAAAATTTTTAGTAACGTAGGGATATAAAGAAACTGCTCAAGAAATATTGCTTTCCAAAAACCAGAAGCAAAGCTTCTCTTAAAGGATAAAACACTAAACATGTTTCAACTAAAACCAGAGATGAGATCAGTGTGCTTGCTATCACCATTATTATTGAATGTTATATTGGAGTTTCCGGCGCATCCTAGGAGATCTGCAAGTAAAATAACTGGTATACACACTGGAAAGAAGAGTAAAATTATATTTTTGATAATGAAGAAGATTGTACATTCAGAAAATCGAGAAAGTCTTCTAATTTGGAGGCTCTTTCTTGCTTACTTGCTTTCTTTCCCTCACTTTGGTGCTCAAAACATTTAGAACACACATTTTATAGAAAAAAAACTATGAGAATTTTATAACAGTAGTAAAGTAGCAGAATATGAAATATAGAATCAATAGCTTTTCTCTGTATTAGCAGCAAGAATCTAGAAGTAGAAATGGGAAAATATTCAAAGTAGAAATAAAAACTGTAAAGTCATATATTTCAAGAGAAAGGCATAGAACTTATGTTAAGAAAACTATAAAATCTTAACACAGCCAACAAAACCTAACAAATGGAAAAATACTCCATATTTTAGAATATGAAGACTTTCTATTATAAAACTATCAATTCTCCCAAAATTAATGTATAAATGTAATGCATTTCCTGTTATAGTCTCAACAAGGCTTCTTGCCAGTACAATCATTTTAAGACTCATATAAGAACAAATGCCTACAATAGCCCCAAAATGTTTGAATAGAAAGACTACTGGGAGGAACCAGATACAAGAATAAATGAAATGGACTCCAGCTACGTTTGTTGTTTCCACAGGAACAAACAAAGAGACTGAGTTAGAATAGAGAATTCAGAAGTAAATCTGTGTATACGAGAAGTTTTAATGTAGTACCAAATAGCATTTTAATTCAATGGGGGAAAGAATGGTTTACCTAATAAATGACACCAGCCATGTGGAAAACAAAATTAAATCCCATCTCACATCACAAACAAAATCAAATTTTAGGATCAGTTAGAAGCTTAAGATGTAAAAGACCAAACAATAAATACTGTAGAAGAAAATCTAGGAGAGTACATGTATTCCTTAAAGTGGCAAACCAACACAGAAAAAGACATAAAGACATATTTGAGTTGGTAAGATACAAAGCTAAATTAAAACTGTCAGAATAATGTATAGAGTACAATTTTATTTTAGTAAATACATCCATGTGTATGTGTATGTGTGCATGACTCACCTTCCCTGCCTGTCTGTCCTGTCACTTTGTTCAGGCCGCCATGATCCAGAGACTAGAATTATTTCAACAGCCTCCTAACTTGTCTGCTTTCCAGTCTCTCTGCAATCCATTTTCTATACACTCCTCAAAATCATAAATCTTACATATCATTTCTCTGCATAAAGCCCTCCCAGGATTGTCCACAGCCCTTAGGACAAAATACAAGCTCAGCAAAGTTTGATCCAGCCTTCACTCTGGGCCCATCCTCATCTCCCCCAATTTGCCCGATTCACATCCCTACGCAAGCCATCAGGAACCACTGGGAATTTCCCAAACATGCCCAACAACCTCTCTCTCACATACAGGCTCCTGTATGTGCTTTCTATTTTGTTTTGTTTCCTTAATGGAATTCTGTTCTCCTAACCCACTTAGCTAGTTGTCTGCTTAGACTCATCTTGCAGATCCTCACACCTAAATTCCTCCAAAATGCTTTCCCTGACATATATACTGAGGTAGTGGCCTCTGCTTTTTTGGCTTCTCAAGCACATTGTGATTACCCTCTAGCATTTATCACACAACACTTGCTTGTTTGTCCACCGCTCAGCCAGACATGACCTCTGTGAAGACAAGAGTTATGTCCTATTCAACATTTATTCATTCCTTTATATAAAAAAGAGAGAGGCAGAGAGAGAGAGAACACCTGGTCAGGCAGTCTCAGTGCTGAGTACTGGGAATACTATAGTGACCAGAATAGACATGGGTCTTCCCTTTACTGAGCTACATGAAAGACTGAATAATCCAGAAATTGAACATATATTCCAGCAATAATCCAAAAGAAACCACATGATGATAGTGTTATAATAAGGGGCACAGTGCTTGAGAGCTTATATCAGGGACCTAATGAAATCTACTGGGTCAAAGAAAGTGTCCTTTAAAAGGGACACATCTGAAGGATAAATAAAAGTCGTCTAGGCAACCAAGAAGGAACAGACAGAAAGAAAACCATTCCAGACCAAAAGAACATTATGCAAAGTTCCTGGAAGAGAAACTCAACATGGAATTTTAGAGAAGCAAAGTAAAGACCACTACTGGAACTCTAATCACTCACACACTGGCTTGCCCACAGTGGATTTTTTTGATTAACAGATAAAAGAATAAATAATAAACGAATAAATACAGCTGTGTGTAACTACCCATATATATAAAATATATTTTATATAATACATGTAATAAATACATTCTACTATGTTGTATATGTATAATT